TTTTGCAATGTTGACCTAGCGTGACGTCATTTATGACGTCATCAAGGTCATATTAGTTTTTCGTCAATAACTCTTGATCAAATTGAGCTAGCGAGTCGGGGAAGCCACCAATGGACTCAGGACGACCTGCCGAATCGAATGATATGCGACAAGACCTCTTTCGACCAACTTCGTGACCTGGGGGTGCTGACATGACCTTGACCTGAGGTCAACACCCCAAGTTGACCTGACCCGAACAAAAAGTATATCATTCGACGCGACTGAGCGAGGCGAACACGATGCTACCAAAATCGCGGATCTGCGGCCGTTTTTTGCGAAGTTCTTCACCAAAAACTGAACCGTACCTTGGGGCACTTGACCTGACCTCAGAGGTCACCGGTTGACCTAGGACCTTAAAATCGGGTACCAATCTCTGCGTCTCGTAACGGCGCACACGCTCGATTTTTCCGCGACGCGCTAGCTCCACCAGGGGCGAAACGGCGAGGGGGGGTCGTACCCGCCCCCCCCCCCCCTCAGCCGGCGCGTATGTAGAAAACCAATAGGTCCGGCGAGGGTTAATTCTATAATTTCTAAGTGCTATGAAGATGTCTCCGTCTAACAAAAATATTTCTAAGCAAGCAAGTCCGACATTCCAGGGCCGTTGATATATCTCGAATTATTGGCTTATGACACATTCGTAAAAAGTACATATCCATGCCGAAGGGCCATGCACTATTCGTGTCGGAATAACAAGTGCCGCAAGTATAACATCATCATCCAGTAGCACTCTAATAAATCACCAGCAGACCTTCCACCCATACCACCACCACCCCCCAGTCCCATGTCGACCCCCGGATGTCTCCATAACCTGTCCCTTTCACGGTCATCCGGTGGGTCGTCCACACTATATATAACGACGGGAACGCCGGGGAGGCATCACACTACAGACGCATCTCCCAACGGCACAACCACCAGACTCACATCGCACAATCATGAAGATGGTAAGCCATGTGGGGTCGAATTGAACTTAGTAGAAAAGCTTAGCTGAGAATATTAATGTTGAAATGCCACCCAGCTAAATGTAGTTGATTATGACACTGAAACCGACCGAGCCAGAAATACATATGTCTTCGCAATCTAACGTCGCCCCCTTCCATTTCACAGTTTGTGGCCCTGTTTGCCGTGGTGGCCGCCGCGGCCGCCGGCTCCCCCGGCTACGGACCCACCCCGGCCGTCCGCGCCGCCGCCGACGCCGCCGCTCCGCTGCCTCTGGTGCGCATCCTCGAGTCGGAGAGCCACAGCGACGACCAGGGCGGCTACGGGTTCCGCTTCCTCTCCGAGGACGACATCGAGCGCCAGGAGCAGAGCGCCGACGGCACCGTCACCGGCTCCTACAGCTACCGAGCTCCCGACGGACGGCTCATCAGCGTGCGCTACGTGGCCAACGCGCTGGGCTTCCGCGCCGAGAGCGACGCGCTGCCGACGCCGGTGCCGACCGAGTACCCGACGCCGCAGGTGCCGTCCACGGAGGCGGCGCCGTCCGTGCGCACCGTGCAGCAGTACTCGGCGCCTGCTGAGCGGCCGGCCGTCCGGCAGCCGGCCGTCGAGTACGAGCCCGTCTACAGCTACCGCGCCGTCTCTCAGTGAGGGGTCACAGGCCGGGTCAGCCCGTCAGCCGGGGAGACGACGGGACGACGGAGACATGATGGACGCGATCAATGGAACTTTGAATGATTTGGATGCATGCATGGAGATGACCGTATTTATTGTGATGTAGCGTTGTGAGTCCCTAGTTATTTATTGTTCTTTGTCATTTGATAGATCGCTGTGGAATCGGCCGATGATGTGATTCTTATGTGAAACAATACATTCGCTTTTTCATTTACCCCCATCTTTCTTGAATATTGCTTCTAGTATGGACGAGGAATGTCTCCTAAAACGACAAACTGAGAATGGAAAATGTTACCATTCGCATATCAATCATTCCCTTCTTGAGCCGATGCTTCACACAGAAAGTCATCGAACGAGCAAACTGGGAATGAATGCAGATGATACGGGGATGGAATGAATGCAGCGATGAATGCTGGGGATAAAGCAACTGCCAGACTCAAATCTGAGTAGTTTGGCAACTAGACTTTCGTTTTGAACGTTATTGTGCCAGTCCATGTATATTGTTCTTGGGTATGGGAATACAAATGCCTTCAGAGCCAGCCACTGGCCGTGTGACGTGATTGGGCGAATCCTGAAATATATACTATTGCCGAAGCCTTAGAAATCGGGCATCTGCGAATTTCATCGAAAATGTCGCAAAGTCTGGGCACAAAAAAGTGTGGCAGCAGCCAATATCATCACCCAAGTAGTCGTAACTCGTAATGGCCGTATTTGGGCTCATAACAGTCGGTGTGCCCACAAGCCCTTTAAACCAAGTTACAGTGGAGCTGATTATTAGTAAAGTAATCTTGGAGCTGATGGTGTGTAGAATCGTACTAAGTAGAAGTAGAAGTCGTACTAAGCACTCAGTGAGCTGCACCAGATCCAGCCCAAGACGAAGGTAGGCGCTGGACACAAAGGCGAAGGCGTAGGCGTATAACATTTTAGAAATCTGCTTAATAACCTTCAAAAGGACGTCTAACGCGCATCTGTTCCCCAGCGACGCATGATGTTGGAAGGTAAAAGCCACCTCCATGGAAAATGGAGGCGCGAGTCACGGAGCTCCAGGCAAACAAAGCAACATACCATCAGTTGTTGTTTTTTACGAGACGATAGAATCAGAATCAGAATCAGAATATATTTCATAACGAATCCATCGAATATGGTTTTTCATCGTCACACGTCAAAGGTTGAAAACATACGAGGTAAAATACATTCAGGCCAATACAATACACCGCGATACTTGATCAGGTCAGCCATACAGTTCTCTGAGTAGGTAGCGTCTCAGGGTGGATTTGAAGTGGCGATTGTTTGTGTCGAATGGCAGCTGGTTGTACTGCTGGACAGCACCGTAGCTGAGACGCCTGCGACCCGACTCAGAGTGTATCCTCGGTAGCGTGCGCTGAGAGGAGCCTCTCATCTGATGCACGTGGTCTCTACTGGGGCCGATGCACATAGCGATGCATTCGGGACTACCGGTCGTGATGGCAGCATGGGTGAGACCAAGATTACTTGGTGAGACACAGTCGGTGATACGTGAAGTAAGTTACGGACGAAAGAGGAATAATCGAACAACATTTCGACCTAAATTCCACGGATGAACTGTGGGCGATCCCCCAGCTGACTAACTGATACATGTATGCATCGACAAATAGTGTGACGAACGATGACACGATGAACGATGAAACGAACCATGAAACGAACAACAAACGATGAAACGATACAAAAAAGAAAGGTTCCTGCAGCACTGTTTCTTCCGGAAGGCATTCTGAAACTACCGTCAATACGAAGGCGTGACCCTCTTGAACAAACTTGTGAATTCGTAAAGCATAATAGGTGGTTAGATCCGACGTCTGACTTCTCCAGATGATTGGTAATGTGTTCATCCTAAAGTCCATACCCAAAGCTAACAGTCATTAGTGCAACAAAAATGTTCACAAAATATAGGATGAAAAATGAAAATGAATAGCAAATACAGCGTGATAGCCTACGAAACAGGAGAATTATAAAGTGCGAAGTTTTATAACAAAAAAAAATCATGTCAGCGCGGAGAAGACAATTATATAGAAAGAAAAACATGAGGGGGAAACAAAACCAGAAGGTAAGCAAACAGCTTCAGTAATAAAAATTTGTAACTAACAAAGTCTTCAACATTTTCTGTTAACGGGATAAATGTTTGGACATGAGTCTTGAAATGCTCTAAAAAATGTAAACATCTTTTTAAGACATTTTAAACAAGAAAATAAGCATTCAAGGGTCGGTGCTGCATGCAAAAATATTGGTCTATGAGCCATTTGTAGAAAAATGCATATTCATGCTTATCAGCCGTGCACTGCCCGTTTTATAATGCTTAGTGCCGCATGTATAATACCATCGTCCAGTAGCACCCCAATAAATCACAGGCAGACCTCCAACCCATACACCCCCCGTCCCATGTCGACCACCGGATGTCTCCATAACCTGTCCCTTTCACGGTCACCCGGTGGGCCGTCCTCACTATATATAACGACGGGAACGCCGGGGAGGTATCACACTACAGACGCATCTCCCGACGGGACAACCACCAGACTCACTCCGTACAATCATGAAGATGGTAAGACATGTGGGGTCGAAGTGGGACTTGGTAGAAAGTTTAGGTGAGCAGTGATCATGTTGAGATACCCATCAAGCTTATTGCGGTGGGTTAGGGCACTGAATCTGACTGAGGAGTCAGAAATTATGTCTTCGCAGTCTAACCATACCCCCTTCCATTTCACAGTTTGTGGCCCTGTTTGCCGTGGTGGCCGCCGCGGCCGCCGGCTCCCCCGGCTACGGACCCACCCCGGCCGTCCGCGCCGCCGCCGCCGCCGCCGCTCCGCTGCCTCTGGTGCGCATCCTCGAGTCGGAGAGCCACAGCGACGACCAGGGCGGCTACGGGTTCCGCTTCCTCTCCGAAGACGACATCGAGCGCCAGGAGCAGAGCGCCGACGGCACCGTCACCGGCTCCTACAGCTACCGAGCTCCCGACGGACGGCTCATCAGCGTGCGCTACGTGGCCAACGCGCTGGGCTTCCGCGCCGAGAGCGACGCGCTGCCGACGCCGGTGCCGACCGAGTACCCGACGCCGCAGGTGCCGTCCACGGAGGCGGCGCCGTCCGTGCGCACCGTGCAGCAGTACTCGGCGCCTGCTGAGCGGCCGGCCGTCCGGCAGCCGGCCGTCGAGTACGAGCCCGTCTACAGCTACCGCGCCGTCACTCAGTAAAAGCGCGCACGCTCAATGAACGGTTTGAAAAGGAATGCTTTGAACTCCCTATATCCTGCTTGAATGGTCTCTGACCTGACGGCATATTATTGTCTATTTATTGTTCCGTGTATTTCTGCATATTTTGTGGTGAATGTTTGGTGTTTATTAGCATGCAATAAAAATGCAATAAAAATGATTGCTCTTAGAATGTGTTCTGCTTTGTAGTTTACTTCACAAGTCTACACTGAACAAGGGTGGGGTATGGTGACGTGCGGGCCGAGCCTTACTTGTTTTCGGAGTCAGGTAGACACTGATGGCCGTGATCGGGTCATTGCTGGCGTCGTGGTAGAGCTCCGTCACCAGCAGGTCGTTATCCTTCATACGCAGCGGAAACTTCTGCATGTCTGTGGACGCAGAGACAAAGGAAAAGTGTCAGCAAAGGAAACTGGTGGCTTCAATCTGTACTACACTGTCCGAGTGTAGTACCCGCGTACTACACACAGACAGTGCGTGCAGCTCGTGAATATACAGCCACCAACTAACATGTGCCAACAGTTGTTTGCGCCGGCATGACAAACGCAAATCTTCGGGGGACTAGGGAAACTTAGTCCCCAAACCCTCCATCACAGTTTCCCACCCCAAGCTCATCTCAAAACTCAGAGAGCACATCTAACTCGTGGAAATTGGTAGATGCAGGACTAACAATTACCTTCGGAACCTTAAAAAAACAAACATTTTTTGCTCATAGCTTAGTACTCAATTTTACTTGCGCGCAATACAGGTGCCTAGAACAGCTTCGAATGGCCTCAGAGCTAAGGACGGTCCACCACCCATCCCAACTGACCTATGTAGTAGATACAGCCATTGGTGCCGCCCAGCAGCAGAAAGCTCCCGGCCCGGTCGAAGCTGGACACGCTGCCGATCTCCTGCGCCTGCCAGTGGTGGGTCATGGCGTGCCAGACGCCGATTCGGCCCGCCGAGGAGAGAGCCACCAGCTGCGGGCCGATGAAAAACAGGTGCTCCACCGGCACACCCAGACTGAACTGACCTGAAAGGGGAGAGAAGACATGGACGTGTAAGAATGACATGGCACGAGGATAGAGGAAGCATTAAACGGAAAGTAGATGGCAACGTGACAGCACAACGATATAATAATCAAATAAAAGTCGCCGAAACATGTGATAAGACCATCAGACAATCACCTAGACAATGAAGCATCAAGCCATGTCGGTTACCTACAACAAGGCCATGCCACTCGACATGTTATAGCTTGCAATATATCTTTTTTACTATACTGATCAATAATGCACGTTTGATTCATCCCCAGTCCATCCTATACTCCCAGTCCTTCCTCCACAGTCCGCACGTCTCTCCGCCACACCGCAAAATACCCCTCTAGTCTTCTGACAACCTTCCTTATCAAGTCCCCACGCACTTCCCACACACTAAACCGTCACTCACCGACGTCCGACTTGGAGCCGTCCTCCGATATGCGCCACAGGTGTACCGAGGCACCGCAGCTGATACCCAGCATCTTAGTGCTGGCGTCGGCCACCGAGCCAGTGGGCACCACCTTGGCGTTGATGGCCACGCGGTCGATAGCGCTGGTGATGTAGGGAGAGGTGTAGAACAGGTGCCAGCCTGTGGAGTCCTTCATGCTGTAGATAGGAGAAAGGGTATGGTGTGTGAGAGTGACAGAAATGCATCGAATGAGCGAGAGACGCAGCGGCGTCGTGGGTGGGCGCGCATGGAATGGCGATGTAGTCAATAAGTTACACAATACGCATGTCACGAGCCGCGGTAAAACTCTAAAAAAGCGCCGAAAAAAACGACGACATCTTCACATTCCAAACACCAATTACACACAAAACAATCGGCAAGCTGATGTTATCAGAATTATGGGCAATGGCGTTAGGCAGACCCCCTGCCGTTACATCTCCACTGTTGGCACCAAACACAGCACGCCCCCATTCCCTACGCCGATCCTCACCGGTAGCAGGACACGTGGTGCGCGTAGGCAGCCACCAGCCAGTTGTGGTGTCCCCTGATGATCCGCACACCGGCCGCCTCGTGCCACCCTGCCAGACCGGCCAGCCCTCCGCCCCCTCCCCCGCCGGGCGGGGCCAGCAGGCGGCTCAGATCAGCTGAGGAGCTGCGCGAGTGTGACGGGTGGCGCAGATCCAGCGAGCCGCCGCGCGAGTGGCCCGGCCGACCCATAGGTACTGGTGCTGGCCGCGCCGCCAGACCGGCCACGAACCTGTCGGAGGGAGCGAACAGGGGTGAGACGAGTAGGTAGACTGACAAAGGGAGCAAACTGTCAAACACAGCAGATAGAGCTGCCAGAGGGCACAAATAGGTAGAGCTGCCAGTGCCAATAAACATGATAATGATGATGATGATGATAATGATGATGATGATGATGATGATGATGATGATGATGATGATGATGATGATGATGATGATGATGATGATGATGATGATGATGATGATGATGATGATGATGATGATGATGATGATGATGATGATGATGATGATGATGATGATGATGATGATGATGATGATGATGATGATGATGATGACATACAGGGGACAGGGTGATGCCGGGAGGCGATAGAGGAGGTGAGAGAGGGTGGCGAAAAGAAGATATTTAGATTTTCTCGCATGTTCAATACGGGTACGCCGGAGATTTCGGTAGTTATTGGCTAGACTGGCTGCGGGGAACACATACAACGTACTTATGCACCTGAGGAGGAATTGCATCTACTCAGTGGTTGGTACTGGGTTGTGCGGGTCATAGAGATATGCTTGGTGACCTTCGTAGAAAATTATCAGTGTACTGGAAACCTCGTATATATTAACGACTCAATTCAGTTACATGGGCTGGCCAGTGATAAATACCACTGGTTCAGGGCGAACCAATAAACAATCGATCAATCGCCAAATAATCGATGGAATACCGTGAAACAGATTCAGTCAATGAAAACCCGGTTGTCCGGATTGTATCAATAAAGCACTTAAATAAAGCACAATTTTCGGTGATATTGACTTTGTACAATGGGGCAGAGTCATTGGGCCAGAGGTTACTGCATTGTGCGCAGCTCGGCCGCGTAAATAAATCGTAGCCTTGGGCAAACAGGTCGATGCCAACTACCACAGAAACCAACAACAGGACAGAACAGACATTCTTTTCCATAGCCTTACGTCAGATAGTCGATAAATATACGTCAAACAGACGTCAAATAGATAGATAGGTACGTCAAATAGATAAATCCGTCAAATAGACAGGAAGATGATCTACACTTTAATGGGATCCGGTGAAGTGTCAAATGCAGAAATATGACCCAGAGGTGATCGTAAGCAATGACAATATCATTCAGCTTATCCTACATCAGCAATCCAAGCCCCCCCCCCCCCCCCCCCCCAACAGCTCATTTCGGTGTTGAGGCCTGAGGGCATGGACTAGTTAGGAACCACACAGTCTTGCTGGTCGACGTTCACAGCCAGTGAAAACAACTGACATGACCTGCTGGTCAGCAAATTTAATGTAGTACAGGCTTCAGTGCACGGAGGGGACGGAGGGGGCTGGGGGTAGGAGAACTAGTATCAGACCCGGGTCGACTGATATTCTAAGCAACGTCAGAAAACGTCATATAGTGCTGAAATGAGGCACGGCTGACCTCAGTAACGTCAACACAGCTCACAGAGCGCTGACTTGAGATCGGTTTGTCAAAGCAACATAGGCACCAAGCGTGGAGCACTAGCCTGGGGTACGGTACCTACAGACCTCAGTTAAGTTACTGGAGGTCAGGGAGCACTGAACTGACCTGATCTGACCGAGATCAGCACAGGTCACGGGACACTGACCTGACCTGACCGAGGTCAGCGCAGGTCACGGGACACTGACCTGAGGTCGGCAGACGACTGGCGGGAGTGCGAGCGGGGCGTCTCCGGCAGCCGGACGATGGACCCGGGCCGAGCGGCGGCGGCGGCAGCGGCGGCGGCCCCTTCAGCCAGCGCCGACTCCGCGAAATGGGGTGACGGCGGCGGGACTGCAGGGAGAAACGACATGACAGAGTTAGTTAGCACTAAACGGGACAGAACATGTTACTGGAACATTCGGACTGTTAACCTTATCAGCTATTACGAGACATACGCAAAGACGCATCAGCTGCTCCCCTCCCCTTCTGAACGGCCGTAGCTGGCCGATATGTAGCTCGTAAAGAAAACTATGGGAATGATAGAAATGATTCATCCAGTCCAACCATCACCCTCCACAACTATGTACCCACCGAATAACCGCACTGATCAATCTGACTGTTCATGGCCTAGCGTCAGCAGGTATGCAACACCCGATCCGTGTGCCCCCCCCCCCCCCCTCTGAATCATCCATCCAGTGACGCAGTGCAACATACCGGCCAACCCGCCTCCCCCTCCGTCCACAGACACGCGCACGACACCTCCACAGCCGTCCGTCCCCTTGCCTCGTCCTGTCAAGTGTCATCCCCATCCCCTTGTCATCCCCAAGCCAGGGGATGTAACCCCATCCCTGACCTTTGCGTCTACTGACCCGCCTGCTGGTATCCTTGTCAGACCGCCCTTACCAGCCCCTCAATCCATATCCTCTCCATCCCCTCACTTGTCCACAGTCCTCTCCATACCCTCCCCTTTTCTCCTGCCCCTCCATCCCCTCCGTGCACTGACCGGCCGGCTGCAGCAGTCCGTGGAACAGCACACTGCCACAGGTGGGCGCAGTCAGATCCTGACAGAGCGCCAGCCGGCCCACCAGCGGCTGCAGGCCGTAAAACTCGGCCTCGTGGCGCAGCGCGTCCAGGTCCACCGAACTGGGGGGGGGGGGGGCGAGAGGGTCGTTAGAGATGGAGAGAAGAGCGACAGATAGCGCAGGTCTAACAGGGTACTGATGATCGAAATGACAAGCCTTGAAGAAGTGCAAACACTACCCATCCAAGCAAAAACCAACAAGACATTGCTACAGTAAGTAAGCCCTAATGTAATACCAGTAAAACGCCTTTTGGGCGAAGAACGAGCGAGCGAGATAGTGAGCCCTGCACGTGCGGAAGGGCGAGAAGGTGCTTCCAACGGGCTTGCGCAAAGCACCCTTCTAACTGGTCGCTAGCGGTGTGCCAAATTTGAACGCAATCGGCCCAGCCGTTCCTGAGATCTGGAAGCGGCATTCTGCACGTGCGCACGTGCAAACGGGGTCCAAAATGACTTTTGCACGGCACCCTACTAACTGGTCCCCAACCGTGTACCAAATTTGAGCGCAATCGGCCCAGCCGTTCGCAAGATCTGGAAACGCCCCCTGCACGTGCGCACGTGCAGTAGCACCCTAACCGCAACACATGGGAATGCATTGCCTGGTGGGTGCCTACCTGTATGCCAAGTTTTAGCGAAATCGCCCCAGTAATTACCGAGTTACTGAAATGGGAACAAATTTGGCACCTCTTATTGTTGTGTTTTGCACGAGCACTGGGGGTGACCCACATGCATCGAGAGTATCCTATTTTGGGTAGAAGGGATGCTGCTACCCTACAAAAATTACCGCAAGTCAATCGCCCAAGCGGCTGCTGAGATATGAGCCTCTCAAAATCACTACTTTTGCAAAACAGCTTGAACACCCTTGACTTTTCACGTGGCACGTGCCACGACGGTCACTGAGACATATCAAAAGTAGTCAATTACGGGGTAGAAGGGATGGGGCTACCCAACAAAAAAGACCGCAGGCCAATCGGTCCAGCGGTTGCTGAGATATAAGCCTCTCAAAAGCGTTACAGGCCGGGCCGGGCCGGACCGGGCCGGGCCGGGCCGGGCCGCTCATACTGAGATTTTTCCGTTATATTGAAAAGACTCACTTCGCTCGCTGCGCTCGCTCGCTCGTAATAAGCCCACCGTATGGAAGCCCCCAGCCCAGCACAACAGACGTCAATCATCCACGCCTCATAGCACATCAGTGCCCGGTTACAAGTCAACATTGCCTGAGTAACCACCTACCACGGTGGTAGAATGACTGACCTGAGGTCAATGTCGCGGGTGCGCAGGTAGTTGAGGATGACGCCGAACAGCTTGGGGTCCCTGTCGATGAAGATGGCGCCCGTCTCGTCGCGCATGCTGGAGATCCTGCCGCTCAGCATGGCGGTGAAGAAGGTGTCCTGCACCCACGTCAGCGTCTGGCGCGAGGTGGAAAACCTGAACACGGAATGCGGGGAGGCGTTAGAGCATTCTAGTGTTTACTTAGTGTCTGAGTGGACTCTATGGTAGTTAATTTAACTCTTTGGCATAAAACAGCAGAAAAGGAAATCGCTAGAATTTCTTAATCCATTAATTATGAGATTTTTCAGCTAAGCATTGTATAAATAGTTATGCACTGATAAGAAATTACGATGTGCTCTGTGGCCAGACAGTTGTATCATCTTCAAGCTTCGTAATCGCGACGGTACCCGCGGAAAACGAGCGCTGTTATTTGGAATGCGTGTAGGAGCAATCCTAATGAGCCAGCTATGACTTTGTACGTGGCCAATACCAGAATGTCCGACCCGTAGTCTGGAACAGTACGGTGCTGGCAGTGAGTCGGTCTCGAACACCCGCGAGTTCGGACAGCCGCCGCACTATCTATCGTTCAGGTTCGGAAGAGTGGTCCCAGGGGCTCGGTCGCTGGCGTTCGTACTGGCTCTTCTATCCCATTAGGCAAGACATGCACTGGATTCAAATGTCTAAAAACTACTTGAAAGGATGCATACGATACGAGATTTGATACGATACAAATGATAAGATGCAAAATGAGAGATAAATGATGACAGATCGCTGCAGCGGTGCCCTGAGAAACGCGAAAGGCTATGTGTGTAGGTATCTTGATGTATATTGTTTGTTTGTTGGGGGTTAGGGGCGCGCCGACTGCGAGGTCATTTTGCGCCCTTGATGTATAATGTATATTGTGTACGACTCTACTCGATAGCTGAAATGAGATCTACGGACTCATCGATTGGAAGGTCATTTGCGTCGGTGGTTAAAACATTGAGGTATTTCACCACATAAGGACCCGCGCTGGGCAACTCATTCCTGCACTGACAGCTTCATCACCTAGTAACAGAGATTACGGAAAACCTGAAATATTCCGCAAACGACTGACTCGGCGTCTAAACGACGAGTGCGTCATTCTTTGTTCTGTCAGGACTTCCGGTAACCTTTCTCAGCTACTCACTGGAAGCCTAAAGTGCTAACGATCATACCTACTAAGCCTTGCTGTACCTATTTCATTGTCTAATGTCTAGTTAGCAGTATTGCTGGAGCCCATCTGTTATCACTCAGTTTTCAGTTACTTTTGCTGTGTTAGCTTTGAAATTCATGCTTTGTGTTGACATACTTGAGTACCTGACACAACTATGAACAAGGTTGGCGGGGGGGGGGGCCTCAGGAGCCCCCCCCCCTGAGGTTTTTTGGTTATTACTCCCAAACGCTTTGAGCTAGGAAGCTCAAATTTTCTGACTTTTCCTAAAAGGCTTTTACGCAGCATTTCTGAAAATTTTGAGTTGATCTGACCTCAGGTCAGGTCACCAGAGGCGGTTTGGTGACCCTACCTCAGAAAAGTTTGCAATCACGCCAGAGCTAGAGTTTTTGACCGATCAATTTCTTCTCTTCAGGCTTAAGTTAGGGTACCAGTATGTGCAATTTGTACATCTCAGAATTTTCATATCTGTGACCTGAGGTCAGGCCAGACTCGTGACCTTTACATTGCAAACCTATGGGAAAATATTGAAACGCCTCCTGCTTCGTGTAAACGAGTCAAAACCACCCAATTCTTTCAGTATTATGGAAGATTATCTCATCGGTGATGATCCTGGTGCCGCTAATTGACAGGGGCACCGGCAAAGGTCATCTGAGGTCATGTGACGTCATAAATCGTTTTTCTGTCAATAAATCACGACATGATGGTGCTAAAGACTTGTAAGTGGTACCAAACTGCTCGCCTGGTCAAGGCGCTTCGTTTGGTATGCAGCATGACTATACCCCACAACCTCATTGATGAATGACCTGACCTTGACCTCAGGTCAAATTTCAAATTGACCTGTGAAGGTCATCACATACTTATTTCGCATCGCCTCGGCGAGAGCAACAAAAAATGTATTGGTTTTATGTCTGAATGTTTCTTAGTTTAAAAGTTATATAGGTAACAAATTTCAAAACATTTTATCGTTGATGACCTCTGGTGACCTCAATATTGACCTGACCTGAAAATGTTTTATGTAAAAGTTGTAGATCTTTAAACGACCTATCAAACGCCGTTCGCCGTTTGTCGCTGCGATGTGTAGTTTTTGAGATCTGAAGGGGGGCCGAATCGGCCCCCCCCCCCCCGCCAGTTTCTTGTCCCGGCGGAGCCCGCCAGGAATAGGGTTCTTGTTTGTTTATGCAGTTTCAAATTGACTCTTTTATAGACAATCCACTGCTATTTATTTTAACAATTATTCGATTATCTGATAATAATAGCCACCACTTGATTTTACAGTTGACACATGGATTTTTATAGTTCCCAGGCAAGGCTGGGACAGCATTCTATGTCTATGTATATGTCAAACAGTCCCAGCTTGTTGGATTGGAGCACATTAGAATCTTGTTTGGAAGCACTATTTTGAAGGATTAGGTGACTTCACAATAGACAATAATTTATTATAATTCAAGAGCAGCCAGTTAGGCAGCTCAATATATTGTGGCCCTACACTTTGTTGTGTGTGCAGAGTTAGCTAACAACTAGGGTGACCCGCGTGCTCCGCAACGCGAAAAGGGATATTTTCGATCGGCGGGTGTTCGGTTGTTCTTGTGTCGGTTGGGTTATCTATCCATTTCGGTCGATTGCTTTTTGACGGCTAAACGTTTTGGTTTGTGGAAAAAATATCCACCGCATCGAGGTGCCCGTGTCTGATAAGCATGCTTTCCACTTCATCATCATCATCATCATCATCAATTGTATTACGTCTAGAGACAAGACAAGCATGGGCATAACAAACATACACAATGCACACAAGACATACGCCAGAAAACATATGCACAATCATACCTACACCAAAACATAGGCATACCAAAAACAACATAACACTATCATATGGGTGGCGCTAATATCATTTGTATTAGTGCCCATGCCTCCCCAGTGTTCTGAGCCAGGAGCCAACTGAGCGAGTCGGTGACTCCACAGGGGGGTCTTGGGGTGTACATAATCTCAGGTGGGATATGACCTCCAGCAACCTGTAGAAGCACACTCATATTGGCCCCACATACGATGAACATAAATCTAACGATAGGCGCGCAGTGTCCCAATGAGGCATCCCCAAGAACAAGAGTGGCCAGGCTGGCAACCAGAATTTGGCGTAGGCGGTGATTTTCGCGGAACGCATCACGGAAGCACGCGATGATGGAGCGACGTAGAGTCTCCTGCACCTTCGGTATGTGCAGAGCAGCGAGCAAAGCTGTGTGGTGGGCTCTGGATGGCAAACGTAAGGCAGCTTTGACTGTTGCTGCTTGCCAGGACTCGAGACGAGAGATGTCGGCGGGTCCCAGAGGGCACAGAGCACAACCAAATAACAGGGTCGGGGATACTATGGCTCGCCAAAGGAAAGCTTTGTCAGGGCCAGGGAGCTGCGAGCTGAACAAACCCGCTCGGGAGAGACCGAAATAGGCGCCTCGTCCACGGGACACGCGTGCATCTACGTGCACTCGGCCCTGAAGGTTCGGGTGCAGCTGAACACCAAGGTGCTCAGTGTATTCCTTACACGTGAGCAAATGGTTGCATAAGTGCCACTCAGGTCGCTGGGCTAAAAGACCAGCACCGAAAATGAAACAGTGACTTTTGGTTGCGCTCGGAACCGGGTTAACAAATTCGAGCCTCCAGCTAACTGAGAATTCTGAGACAGAATCCAATAGCTTTTGCAAGTCAAGTGCGTTCCCCGACATGACTAGGAGGTCATCAGCGTAAGCCACTACTGGGACATGCTTACCACAGACCATTGCACCAAGGCCGGTAGCGTCCAGTTGCTGTATCAGCGGCCTTAAGAAAATATTGGCCAAGCATGGTGACAGAAGCGCACCTTGCCTCACCCCTCGTCGTACGGAAAACGCATCCGATATAGAACCTCCGAACCGAACTCGTGCTGAGAGGTCGCTATACCAGAAGGCTAAAACCAGCCAGCTTCGGCGAGATAAGTAGTCTTTAGCCCGAAGTAGGATGCCAGCGTGCCATATTCGGTCAAAGCACTTACGAGCGTCGAGATTAGCGACAAACAGCGGGGATTCGTGCAACAAATAGTGGCCAGCCGCTTCCTGGACGAGTAGCGTTGCCTCTCTGGTGCCCCGGCGCTGAAGGAATCCAAACTGTAGGTCTGAAGGTCGGAAAGAAAGTTGGATTTCTCGAAGAAGCAGTAATTCGAGCAGCTTTGATACCGTGGACACCAAAGAAATTGGTCGGTAGCTATCCGGACAGTTTGGGTCCAAGCTGCTTTTTTTAATAAGTGGGACCTTCAGTGGGACTTCAGAATCTGTCAAATGTGCTTTATAATTGAGGTGCGTAGTTTTAAGACAAATGAAAGGCGTAGATAATTTTCGCTAAAAATCGTTTTGCAGAGGTTTAAAACATTTATATTTTTAAGAATACTGTTGCTTGTCATGCAAACGTGATGATTGGATCTTGGAGAGAATTGAATGCTCTTTCTAATGATAGCTTTTTCAATTGTCAAGCGTATCAGGTTAAGCAGCAAATCCCGTGTATCTTTTTAGTGGCACATTATGGACAAATACCATTTTAATTCAGCGATTTTTTCCACATTGTTTTTGATCAATTAGCTGTCCACAATTTTTCCATGAGAGGCGGTACATTTCTCTTGGCAATTGACGTTGTTTCAACTCTCTCAGTCTGATGGTCACGGGAAAATAAAATAAAATCCAAAATGCGTTTAAAATGGCACTTTTTGAAATGAAATTGCCCTCACACTTGCACGTGGCGCGTGCCACCCCTGCACCGCACACTATTCGATTGCCCGTTCGATTCTCTACACGATGCTGTTTTCCCCGTGCCGATCGGGCGCACGGCTACCGAGATATTGCACGGGGAACGGACCCGTGTCGGGCAAATTTAGCCATTTTCGCCCGTTTTTGCCAGCCGATTTATACATGTAAAGTCTATGACGCGAATTTGCACTTTTTGGGCACGCGCCACGCGCTCGCTATCGATCCGATCGAGCCGAGACCGCTCAAAGGCACGTTGTCCATCCTTGTTCTATAACTTGCGCAAATTTCAGCGCGGTAGGTGCAACGGTGTGATCTGTAACCCGCGCTACGTAGCACCATGTCGCGACCTTCGTAATAGACAGAAACTACGCCCTCCTCAAATAGTAATATAGATTGACAACAACTAGCAAGGGCATAACTGAAAAGACATGGTCAGATGGTCACATTTACAAATGCATTGCACTAGATCAATCAGATAACATTCTGAAAATTTTCACCTTTTTTGGGTATAGTAACATTAAAATTGCTAGTTACCATATCTATTGTGTTTAGGATTTAGGAAACTGGTCATTTGCCATGCTTTCTAATTCAAATTTGAGTTACACTTACCTTGTCCCACCAACATTCAAATTGATGATCTCTGAAGAAGCTGCCATTGCTGATGAGGTCTGCAAGAAAAAAAATATTGTTTTTGCAAAGAGCAAATTACAAATACAAAATTATCAAAAACCAATGATGTTAGATAAAACACAATAGTAACAATTATCAAAGCTGAGATACAAGAGGGTCATTGTTGATTCTAGTCAAGCTCATGAAGTAGATGAGGTACTGACAATTCAAGGGGGAAATTAGAATAAATGCCCCTCCTAAGTCCTAACACATACAATTTCATCCATTCTTGCCTCAAAAAAGAAAATTTAGTTGAACAGCTATTTTGGGCAAAATTGGCTTTATAATAAACATTGCACAGAGGTCAAGGTCAGGGTGCATATGAAAGCACAATAAGATAATTTTTTGCAAATGGGGCAAACTTTTTGGAAGCTCTGTGTGATAATATTGATGATAGTAATTAGGCAAAACCTAATGGTTTATAAGTTAATATAGTATTGGCATGTCCCTGCATGCCACCTTTTGCACATTTTTATTCATAATGCATGGAGGAAAACTTGAATCCAAGGGCTGTTCATGAGCACCGTAAACTTCTGAGTGTGGTGTGTGCAGCAGGCTAGGGGTAGGGGATGGGTAGGTGGCATGACATCACATGGCTCCTTGTGGTGGCCGGTGTCTGTGCTGCTGCAGCCGCACAGCAGCCGCTGTCAGCTGTGTCAAAGTGCGGTGACAGAATGACATCAACATAAGGAGGCTGTGGGTGGAGCTTAGAGCCTGTGTGCGGTCCTACCCCACACAGGGCCCATGAACAGTCCTTAGCAAAATCTGAAAAATTGAAATTGAGTTGTTTCTTTGATGGGTAAGTAGGAAAATAGGTTGGTTCCTATGTAATATCTATGACACAATTCTGATCTTAAAACTTTAAGACTTAAAAGCATGTCTTACAGTTAACTAGTGACTTACCTAGCACTCAAAAGCCTCAAGCAGTTAGTTTTGATGCTAATAGGTTCAGGTTATGTGAATGTTATAAACCAATTTAATCTGGTTTTCAATAAATACCAATGGGCATTGGGCAATGACAGCAACAATGCATGAGGCCTTTCCAAATTTGGCCAGCAAGCACCTCAGTCTTTGTGGATTTTAATTGGTCAGAATCAGCCAGAATCGGGCAGAATATAAAATATGCATTGAAACGAAATTGAAATTGAAACAACAACAATTGCAATGGGCATCACCACGGGCATTACATGAAAAACTCCCCAGTGATTTTTGCGTTTTTTGCCTTTGCAAGTTTTTCTCTATATTTATCTATGATATGGTAGCATCAGTAAAACTTCGCTATAACACTGCTTTTTAAAAGTAGTTTTATAGAATGATATTGAAAATTATACAACACATTTGAAAACGAATATGCACATTTTAAACCTAAATTTGACATATTTAGCTTTTTATAATGTAACGGAAGTTAGCCCACATTCAGCCCACATTCGGCCCAGCCCAGATTGGGGCTGCCAAATCTAGGGAAAAATCTAGAAATCTAGGGAAAAATCTAAACACCGTTTTACGCCTAAACGGCTGGACGAAACTGAAAAATAAGACCACCATTTGAAAGATCTCTTCACCCCGGACCTAATGATATGGTTAAATACCGGATCAATTTAACCAAAAGCATGATTTAACCAGGATGAAAATTTTCGGTCAATGGGGCGGCCCCTACGATTTTCCTCAAAATCGGCATGGTGATACTACAGGCCGAGATGATCAATCTGGCTGAAGAAACCCCTATGGGCATTGAAATCTATGGGGTAAAAACGCCCTTGGAAAGTTTTACCCACGCATTTCTGGCAAGTGTATCGCACGCATCCCCCAATATGGGTATCATATGAAAGCCCATGAAAACCCAAACAAAATGGTGGGGTAAAATTTACCCATTACCCCATCCAGGGTAAATTTTACCCAAGATGAAAATTTCCGGTCAATGGGGCGGCCCCTACGATTTTCTTCGAAATCGGCATGGTGATACTACAGGCCGAGATGATCAATCTGGCTGAAGAAACCCCTATGGGCATTGAAATCTATGGGGTAAAAACGCCCTTGGAAAGTTTTACCCACGCATTTCTGGCAAGTGTATCGCACGCATCCCCCCAATATGGGTATCATATGAAAGGCCATGAAAACCCAAACAAAATGGTGGGGTAGAATTTACCCACTACCCCATCCAGGGTAAAGTTTACCCAAGATGAAAATTTTCGGTCAATGGGGCGGCCCCTACGATTTTCTTCAAAATCGGCATGGTGATACTACAGGCCGAGATGATCAATCTGGCTGAAGAAACCCCTATGGGCATTGAAATCTATGGGGTAAAAACGCCCTTCGAAAGTTTTACCCACGCATTTCTGGCAAGTGTATCGCACGCATCCCCCCAATATGGGTATCATATGAAAGCCCATGAAAACCCAAACAAAATGGTGGGATAAAATTTACCCACTACCCCATCCAGGGTAAAGTTTACCCAAGGCTATATAAACCAGGTAGAACGCTCCCGAAGAAAAAGTGGTGACAAGCAATATTTAGTTGCCGCGACCCTCACTTGTTCAAGACTATATCCGCAAGCAGCATTTACAAGCTAGCGGAAATCGACCAATCGGCGTTCGGCAATACTCAACGCTGATTGGCCCGATGCTCGTGACGAAATTGCGGGGGACTGCAGCTACTCCCCTATGGCGTTTCATTGACTTATGACTTTTGAAGGGGATTTGTATCAGTTTTTGTTGGGTTTGAGGCCATTTTTGAGCTTGGATATTCTTTCCGTGACCTTTGACTATATAATAACGACATTTAATTATGACATTTCTATATACTACCGGTGTCACATCGGCCAAAAAGACCGTAAGTACATGGGATAGACGGACCACTGCTGATGGGGCCACACATGTCGGCGTGTGGTCATCGGAGGCCCATGAGGGCTCGACATGGGCCCTTTATGGGTCGGTATAGGCCCAGTGGGTCCAGTGCAGGCCTACCAGGGGCCGGTGGCATATAATGTAAGGCTGTCTCGGGACGAATTGAGGGCTCATGGGGGCCATATAGGACCATTAGGGACAACATAAGCCAATCAGGGGTCCATTTAGGCCAATAAAGGCGCTTCAGGGACTTGAAGAGGCCATTCAAGAGCCGTGGTGGGCCCATGAGGGGACGGCATTGGTCCATCAGGTGCAGTCAGGGGATGTTGTACGGGTTTCTCAGTGACCCATTTGGGCATATCAGTGACCAATTTAGACCCAGCAGGGGGCTTTGTAGACCTATCAGGGGCTGGTGATGGTTTATCGGAGGCCAGCGTTAGTCCATCGGGGCACGGCATGCCCATTAGAGGTAATTGCGGGCCCACACTGAACAATGATGGCCCTTCAACGGCCCCTAATGGATCTAGATTGACCCATGTTCCATGATGTGTCATGTATGCCCCTATGGCAGGCCTACTCAGACCCCTGATGGACGTTCCCGGCCTCTGATGACCCTATACTGAATCCTGGTGGGGCTCTAAGAGTCTCCAATAACCCTTCTTCAGCCCATTATTACCATACGCTGGCACTAAAGGCCCCACATCAGCCGCAGGGCAGTCCGTGCCAAGACAGCATGTCTTTTCGGCCGATATTACATCGGTAATATTAATTAAAATCATGATTTTATGGTGCCATTATATAGCTAACAGTCATAAGAAATATATTTCAACTCGAAAACAGCTCGAAACAGCATATAATCTTAAAGAAACCCCTCTGAAATCCAAAAGCCTATTCGGGTCCATAGAGAATAACTGCGGTCCCCCGCAATTTCGTCACGAGCGTCGGGCCAATCAGCGTCGAGCACTGCCGAGCGCTGATTGGTGGATTTTCCGCTAGCGCGTGAGTGCTGCTCGCGGAACAAGAGTTCGTCGACAATCCTCCACAAACGTCTGTCACCACTTTTCGTAATGCTAAACAGCCGGAGCGTACCCCCCTGAGTTTACCCAAGATGAAAATTTTCGGTCAATGGGGCGGCCCCTACGATTTTCTTCAAAATCGGCATGGTGATACTACAGGCCGAGATGATCAATCTGGCTGAAGAAACCCCTATGGGCATTGAAATCTATGGGGTAAAAACGCCCTTGGAAAGTTTTACCCACGCATTTCTGGCAAGACTATCGCACGCATCCCCCCAATATGGGTATCATATGAAAGCCCATGAAAACCCAAACAAAATGGTGGGGTAAAATTTACCCATTACCCCATCCAGGGTGAAGTTTACCCAAGATGAAAATTTTCGGTCAAAAAATTTCCATATGATACCCATATTGGGGGGATGCGTGCGATGGTCTTGCCAGAAATGCGTGGTTAAAACTTTTCAAGGGCGTTTTTACCCCATAGATTTCAATGCCCATAGGGGTTTCTTCAGCCAGATTAGTCATCTGGGCCTGTAGTATCACCATGCCGATTTTGAAGACAATCGTAGGGGCCGCCCCATTGACCGAAAATTTTCATCTTGGGTAAACTTTACCCTGGATGGGGTAATGGGTAAACTTTATCCCACCATTTTGTTTGGGTTTTCATGGGCTTTCATATGATACCCATATTGGGGGATGCGTGCGATAGTCTTGCCAGAAATGCGTGGGTAAAACTTTCCAAGGGCGTTTTTACCCCATAGATTTCAATGCCCATAGGGGTTTCTTCAGCCAGATTGGTCATCTGGGCCTGTAGTATCACCATGCCGATTTTGAAGAAAATCGTAGGGGCCGCCCCATTGACTGAAAATTTTCATCTTGGGTAAACTTTACCCTGGATGGGGTAATGGGTAATCTTTATCCCACCATTTTGTTTGGGTTTTCATGGGCTTTCATATGATACCCATATTGGGGGGATGCGTGCGATACACTTGCCAGAAATGCGTGGGTAAAACTTTCCAAGGGCGTTTTTACCCCATAGATTTCAATGCCCATAGGGGTTTCTTCAGCCAGATTGGTCATCTGGGCCTGTAGTATCACCATGCCGATTTTGAAGAAAATCGTAGGGGCCGCCCCATTGACTGAAAATTTTCATCTTGGGTAAACTTTACCCTTGATGGGGTAATGGGTAAATTTTACCCCACCATTTTGTTTGGGTTTTTATGGGCTTTCATATGATACCCATATTGGGGGATGCGTGCGATAGTCTTGCCAGAAATGCGTGGGTAAAACTCTCCAAGGGCGTTTTTACCCCATAGATTTCAATGCCCATAGGGGTTTCTTCAGCCAGATTGGTCATCTGGGCCTGTAGTATCACCATGCCGATTTTGAAGAAAATCGTAGGGGCCGCCCCATTGACCGAAAATTTTCATCTTGGGTAAACTTTACCCTGTATGGGGTAATTGGTAAATTTTACCCCACCATTTTGTTTGGATTTTCATGGGCTTTCATATGATACCCATATTGGGGGGATGCGTGCGATAGTCTTCCCAGAAATGCGTGGGTAAAACTTTCCAAGGGCGTTTTTACCCCATAGATCTCAATGCCCATAGGGGTTTCTTCAGCCAGATTAGTCATCTGGCCCTGTTGTATCACCATGCCGATTTTGAAGAAAATCGTAGGGGCCGCCCCATTGACCGAAAATTTTCATCTTGGGTAAACTTTACCCTGGATGGGGTAATGGGTAAATTTTACCCCACAATTTTGTTTGGGTTTTCATGGGCTTTCATATGATACCCATATTGGGGGGATGCGTGCGATAGTCTTGCCAGAAATGCGTGGGTAAAACTTTCCAAGGGCGTTTTTACCCCATAGATTTCAATGCCCATAGGGGTTTCTTCAGCCAGATTGGTCATCTGGGCCTGTAGTATCACCATGCCGATTTTGAAGAAAATCGTAGGGGCCGCCCCATTGACCGAAAATTTTCATCTTGGGTAAACTTTACCCTGGATGGGGTAATGGGTAAATTTTACCCCACCATTTTGTTTGGGTTTTCATGGGCTTTCATATGATACCCATATTGGGAGGATGCGTGCGATAGTCTTGCCAGAAATGCGTGGGTAAAACTTTCCAAGGGCGTTTTTACCCCATAGATTTCAATGCCCATAGGGGTTTCTTCAGCCAGATTAGTCATCTGGGCCTGTAGTATCACCATGCCGATTTTGAAGAAAATCGTAGGGGCCGCCCCATTGACCGAAAATTTTCATCTTGGGTAAACTTTACCCTGGATGGGGTAATGGGTAAATTTTACCCCACCATTTTGTTTGGGTTTTCATGGGCTTTCATATGATACCCATATTGGGGGGATGCGTGCGATAGTCTTGCCAGAAATGCGTGGGTAAAACTCTCCAAGGGCGTTTTTACCCCATAGATTTCAATGCCCATAGGGGTTTCTTCAGCCAGATTAGTCATCTGGGCCTGTAGTATCACCATGCCGATTTTAAAGAAAATCGTAGGGGCCGCCCCATTGACCGAAAATTTTCATCCTGGTTAAATCATGCTTTTGGTTAAATTGATCGGGTATTTAACCATATCATTAGGTCCGGGGTGAAGAGATCTTTCAAATGGTGGTCTTATTTTTCAGTTTTCTCCAGCCGTTTAGGCGTAAAACGGTTTTTAGATTTTTCCCTAGATTTCTAGATTTTTCCCTAGATTTGGCAGCCCCAATCTGGGCTGGGCTGAATGTGGGCTGAATGTGGGCTAACTTCCGTTACATCTTTTTATACTTAATTTTAATGTCTTAAAAATCTTTATTGATCAAGCTAGCATCTGAAAGGCCAAAAAACAGGTTTTCTGTCATAGCCAAAGATTTGCAGTTATTTAAGGGCAGCTTTTTGTAGCAGCTGCGTGAGAAACGTCTACACTTTTCCCCCCTCCTTTTTTACTTTATCAAGCTTCAACATTAGGGGCTTGAGAGAGGAAAGTGTCCAAAGTGTCTTATTTTGCTTGAATTGCCAAAGATCAAGATTGTTTGGGATATATGGGTTTGCACTGTATTATTTAATATAGCAAAATAAGCCCTATTGATCAGTTATTTGCTTCCAAGTTTCTGTAAACGATTAACGAAATCCGAATTATACTGCATATACATACCTACGGTAAATCAAAATACGAACTAGCAGTTTCAGGATAACACATTTTTTGTCATTATTTCCTAGCTGAATTTTATAAGTTTATCAACAAGTCTTTTGATGCAAGTGCATTGTACGCTTTCTATGTTACGATGTCTGGCTCTAAACTATACCTTTTATAATAATTTTGTTATTTTGTGTAGTGATTTCATTTTATTGCATCTACTAGTCATTGTAATATCAAAAGCTTATTTTGACTGCAAAAAGTAGTTCGCCACTCGGACCTAATATATACTAGTACAAAAATTTATTATTGTCTTAGCCATCAATCTGCTTTCTTCTGTCGTATTTGTATTTGAATTTTGTAGATACCATTTTTATTCTGGCATGTTCATGTTGGTTTCTATCATCAATTGCCAATGAAAATTAAGCTATCTGTGTCAATGTTGAAGGTAAAATTGTCGCGCTTGATAAGATAACCTATTTGCAGCTTGCATTGTATTTGATAAGTTTGGTTATGTTCACTTTTACTATAGCGAAATCAAACATTTAGGCACATGATTTGAGTGGTCATTAATCCTTTCATAGTTCTGTCTAGCAGGTCATTCATGCCAATGATTATGCAGCTACTGGAGGACTGCTTCACCTAGATGCTCAGTTTTCAGGCCATTGTGAGAGCCCACCTGCTCCTGACTGACAGCTGTGAATGCTAGTTAAGAGAATGGAGAACCAAGAATGGGTCATGGAATCTGGATCCCCATAAAGTCTTAGCCAACTACTTATCAACTGTCCCACTGGGCACTGGTCACAACTCACTTGTACCACACTAAATTGAAGCCTGAAGGCTTATTTATATCAATTGCTGATAATTATCACAATAATCTTGACTGGTAAAATTTCTGATCAAATTTGCTGCTTAGGCCAGGGTATAAACAGTACTGAGAACATTCCTTTTTAATCAGGATAAATGGATCATGCACCACAGGAAACAGAATAAGCTGATTCAACACACTAGCTGACACCTTGTTTCCCACCCTGTGTGCAGAGGCCGGAGGATGTCGCTGGGTCGGCTGTCGGTGGGCGTGTCGGCCGGCCTGGGCGGCTGGCTGGCCGGCTGGCTGTGCAGCACCAAGTCCGAGGCGCCCCCGCGACTACGGCCGCTGCCCGGCCACCCCATGTTCGGCACCGTGTCGGCCGCGATGCCCGTGCCCGCCGACGCGCCTATGAGAGACGTCGGCACCATCGACCCGGCGCCGGCCAAAAACGCCAGCCGGGTGTCGCAGGTGAGGGTCGAGACGGGACAGATGGGACTGCACCGCGTCGATCGGCGGTGTAATTCGAGCGCTTTAGAAAAAATTATAACCGCAGCCATGGCCTACGGTGATGGACGGCAGTTATAGTATAGGTATACCTGCCACACTCCGAGGGGCGATTGTTGGCCGGGGATCAAAGCTTTAACGCAGACAAGTCACGAGTCTCAACCGTGGCGGTCTGCATCCTATAGTCGAATGGAGTTCTGGTTAGACTAAGAATGGTTGCAAAATGATCTGAACATTTTAGTCGGCGCGCCCTAAAGCCCAAAATTATAACTAGTTATTAGAGAGTCAGAGACCGATGTGTGATTTGTCCTGCATCCCAGTGATTTATCCAGTCTCAGCAACTGGCGATTGGGCTCTTAGAAAAGCTTGTCGGTCGTATTGGTGTGGTATTGTTGACAGCGTCTTCTTCCATTTGCGGGGTGGGGCAAATGTGTATATGCGCGTAGAGTACGTTCGTGGTCCAGGTGGTCCCCAATCTCAATGGTCGGGGCAGATGCTTAGACGTATGATAAAATTTGCAAGCAGCATGTCATCTCAAAAGGCTTTGTAGGTACTATTTTTTCGTGCAGAAACAACCTTGTAAGAGGTGTTGTGACTGACAAAGTCTGTTATTCGTGTGTATGTCTTGCGTAGTCTCTTCAGTTTGCACGTTGTAACATGCATGTCAATTAACTTATTTTGGAATCTTTCATCGATCGATAATGATTCTAGAACGTGCACTGGTTATAACCTACTCTGAAATCTATGGTACGCTACCAATTTACAGCCATTATATTCAGCATGTAGATGTGTGTTTATTGTTGTTGGGCTCGAGCAGGGTATAAAATAATGAAATGGGTATCAAGTATTTATATGGGTCAATGTAGACTAGGGATCAATGGTCTCAGTCACAAGCCACTATGTTTCTAAGAGTAACCAGCAGCAATGTTTCATTTGTGTATTTTGTTAAGTATTCTGGCAGCACACAATACAAATAAAGCTCAGCCTCAGCTACTGGTATCTTGAAAGCAGTTTCCATTGCACAGTAATGCATTATGAATTTACCAGTGCTTCATACTACTCTACAGCCATTGTCTTCTTGTGACCTAACTACAGATACTAAATACACTGGCATGTCATTCTCCTGTGACAGGCTGTCTTTACTTTCCATACACAAATTGCCAACATTAAAAATGCAAACAAATACTACTATACACACATTTTGATGACCTGTGGTTAGAATATGGTCAGTAATGGAAGCACGCCTACTTGTGTCATGCTGTACCTCAGAGGGTGACTGACATTGCTCTCAAGTATGTGGTGGGGCTTTGCTGGCCAGAGCATTGTCACCCAGTAGGTTCTGTGATGATGAGAAGAATGGGCGCAGAGACGGCTTTGGTATGGATGTGATGCTCACGGTGTCCACCTCCGGCCCGGAGTCTGATGCATACTCAAGCTCATTGAAAAGGTCATCCAACTCTCCAACTTCATTGGCCAGCTTTGGATCCATGTCCTGATCCTGATCCAATCCTTGCAGATCTTCTGACACTTTGAATCTCTTCCAGATGGTCATAAACTTCTCCTTCAGGTTTCTTTGTCTCATGTTGGCTCCAACATGCTTGATGGATGGAGGCTTCCCTCGAGAGTCCAGCACAGGTTCGGAGTCTGAGCATTCATCGTTTGTGCTGTATTCTTCCTCTTCTTCTGAGTCATAGCGGTATGGTGTATCCATGCTCTTTGGCATTGGCATGTCCTCTTGCTCCACTGGTTGACTGACCAGTGACTCCATAGTCAATACAGCCGCAAGATTTTGCTTTTCTTTTGGGTCAGAGTACAGCCTGAGCTCTTTGTCCACAGACCTTTGCAGAATTTGAGACATGTTGATTACACCCACAGCCAGAGTTTTGAAACCCAGGATGGTTCTGTTCTTGTATCGTTTCCGTCTCTGCATCATGATCTGCAGCTTGTTGCCTTCACCCTTCAGATAGTGAGGGTACTGCATGGAAAATGTCAGATCAAGCTCAGTGTCCAAAAGCCCTGTCGACTGGAGCGGGATTTCATTTGAGCGCAGAGTCCGTTTGGCACTCTGCATTTTCACAGCAATCAGGAGAGATCCAAGATCTGAACTGAACGGTCTTACAACGTTCAGATGCCCAAGTTTCAGAGTGCACTGCCTGGGTATGCATATTGGAGAAGTTCGCTCGACCTCCCATGTTGCAAAAAGCTTCATGGGCGTCGGCTTGACGCTCGCATTGGAGGGGCTCTTCGATGTCTTCTCCGCCATCTTGACAGTGTTGACGGAGCTTGTCGGAAGACCTGAAGACGGCACGACACTCACTATTCCTAATAAGCTCACATTCCCGTATAAAATGTTCGTCGCGCCGGTCGCGCCCCGCCCGCCGGTCGCACTCGATCACAGACTGATCAATTTCTGTTGTGCGTAAATGGGCTTTGTTATGGTTGGACTGGTACGAAACGGGTGCATTCCCGTGGACAAATGACGTCATTTGTTGTAAAATATTTACGCTAGAGGACGTTTTCCTTTGTTTTATCCATTTAGATGTTTGGAAAAATAAAATGTATTTCATTTTTCTAAGTTCGATCGATATTTTGCCAGCTATATGAACCATTTTTGTATTTTTTTATGATAGTACGTAATATTCCACTGTGCCTGCTGAGCTGCGCAGTTATTGCCGTGCCAGAATTTGGTAGCTCCTGTAACGTAGTAGATAACGTATGATAACGTAGTAGTTTTTTCTACCCTACAGTGTAAACTGCTAAAACGTCCTCTCTTGTAGCTTTTGTACCGACGACTCCCTTTTATAATATGAAAATGGCAAAAATGGCATCATGCAGTCGCCGCGAGGATCGGCCAGATGTCATTCGTTACGTGACATTTTTTACAAGCTACGTCTAGGGATGCCTACGTGCAGAGTGTCAAAAGGGCAAGTGCAGTCCACACTGCACGTATCTGCTTGACCAATAGCTGTGATTTCTCAACATAACCGGACCGTCTGCTCATTGATGTATCCGTGCGTTTTTTTTTGTTTTTTGTTTTTTTTTTTTTGCACACTTGTATAATGTATAACGTCCCTGTTTCGTTACAGATCATGCGTTTCGGCTTTCCCGGCCTGGACAACGTACGCTCGCAGAGTGACTACGTGTTATCCTACGACCGCCGTGCGCGCGTGCCGCATTGGGTGTTTGAACACCTGACAGCGGAGAGCGTGCAGAGGAACGACGAGGTGGACCGGGCCGGCTGCGCCTTCAACGCGGACGAATCCATCCACCCGTACTTCAGGTAAGTGAGCGCCCGGACCCGCGGTATTCGGCACTTGGCAGCGATGGTTCCGTGCCAGGTCTTTGTGTTCCTGGACCTGATATTGCTGTGTTTGCTCGTTGATACAAAGACGATGGGTACTTAAGTGCTGGAATTTATAAGAACTTTAAGTAAATGTGAATTCAATGACGTGACATTCAGCTTCACAGATAGTAACGACACGTCTCGGTTGATGTGAGTGTACCACGTGTACAATTAATAACTCGTTTCACCATTTCGTTTCTCCCTTTAGGGCGGAGAACAGCGACTACAAGGGCAGCGGGTACGACCGAGGTCACATGGCAGCGGCGGCCAACCACCGGGTGTGCCAGCAGCACCAGCAGGAGACGTTCCTGTTGTCCAACATGGCGCCGCAGGTCAGTGTGCCAGCAGGAGACGTTCCTCCTCCATCATGGCGCCATAGGTCAGCATCTCTGACGAACGAAGCGCCGCAAACTGGAATAGTGTTACTGACGAATTAACTTGGAGTGGAGGACGTGTAAGGGTTGTAGCTTTGTTATCATTTGTTATCAGTTTGATGGACTACGTCAGAGTCCGCTACGATTCATTGAATGCGATTACATTAGATTTATGCCCATTTGCCTCATTAACATGTACTTTTTTTGTGAGAAATCCGGCTTTGCAATTTTTATATTTTTGTCTGTTTCGATACCGTGACCCGTCAAATTGTTTGGTCCTGCTACGCCCTTCAGTTTTTTATGCTATTTTCCGATCTGTGGTGTGTACTCACACAGGTCGGCATTGGGTTCAACCGCGACAAATGGAACGACCTGGAGATGCACGTGCGAAAACTGTGCAAGGTGTTCACGAATGTGTATGTGTGCACCGGACCACTTTATCTGCCCAGGTGCGTTTACTAATCGGGGAGGAGCTTGAGGCATCTTGCTGCTTTATATAATATGCTCTCGATGATAGTTTTATCTTGTTCGTGCAGCTGCTCTGCACTTTAAGAAGTTGATCGTGATTGGGAAATTTTGCTTGTGGCTTGCACTGTAGTTGGGTGTGTTAATTGTATGTACTTTCTCCTACAGTTGAATGCATTTGGTTTTCTGTTACTTATATAAGTAGTTCTACATCGCCGCTGTATTTATTTGCTCTATTTATTTATTTATTTTTATTTAGACATACAACGACTCCACAAGTAGGTGCTGTGGCTATTCTGCCGAGGTGATTATGAAGGATATGAGACAAATTACTATGGAATGTGACGGAAAGGATAGGGGTAGTTGAGCAATTGTTAACAGGGCCGTGCATATGGTTCATTGGTGCCCGTTCGTGTTCCTTTACGTTACACCCCTATCATCGACCCCTCAGGCGCGAGGCGGACGGTCGTCAGCGCGTGAGTTACGAGGTGATCGGCCGTAACCAGGTGGCCGTGCCGACCCACTTCTACAAGGTGGTGGTGGCCGAGTCGCCGGCTGGACACCTGGAGATGGAGGCCTACGTGATGCCCAACCAGGCCATCCCCAACGAGACGCCCATCGCCAACTTCCTGGTGAGAGAAATGCGGCCGGGATGTCGTAGGAAAGACTGTGAAGGGGCTTAGAGGATGTCCTTTATGACTGTCTATGTCCTGAATGACTGTCTTTGTGTTGTGCTGTGTTGTGTTATTAAAAAGGTATGGTTGAGGTTGAAGTGAGGTGTGGTATATGTTTCCGAAACCAGACCGTTGTGCTTTGACTGCTCTCACAAATGGAAAGAATACTTTCTTGTGAACATGCAACTCTCCGTGGAAACAGGGTATCTAATTTCTCCCTTGAGATTACTCACGTGATCGACTACGCTGCATTCAGTAGTTTGAACTGATCCCGATCTTCTCTGTCGCAGGTACCCCCGGATGTCATCGAGCGAGCAGCCGGCCTTCTGTTCTTCGACAGAATGGACCGAAGCCGGCTGAAACGTGTCAACGGACGGAAAACTACCTGGCTTTGATCTCAACGGAACTAGCATGATGAAGGAAACCGATGTTTTTCAAACATGTGACAACCGTTTTGCCGTGAAACGTGAACGTTTCGAAAGGGCAAAGTTCATTAACTGCCAAAACTAGTCTTGCCACAGGCTGTTGGCTGTTTGACAATGGCATAGTTGTTTGGGATGTTGGGGCGGCTGGTCAACCATGTTGTTACGTGGCATTTGACTGGAGGAGGAGCGTGCCAGTTTTTGGGCGTTGTTTGTTGTGGGATGGGATGGTTCCTGCAATCACCAGGGAGCGTTTAGGCATCCGACGAGGAATTGGAATTGAGAGTGCCTATTTGCCGCATTGTGGAGCAATAACTGCAATGGTTTGTTTTTTGTTGTGGATTCCCTCCTCCGAAATGAAACGGAATGGTATAGTTGGAACGTTTTATGATCATCGAACCCGTCCAGGCGGAGAACCCGTCGGAATGGATCCATACTGAGTATGACCCAAGGCGCTATGTAGTATGTACGCTACGCTCTGACTTGCGTGGTCAACCGTTGATGTTCAGTGACATATGACATGATGACGTGATTGACAATAAATAAAATGCTCATTGCTGCGTTATAGTGCACAGGCTACAGTATAGATTTAGATTCACTCGTTACATCCATGATGTTCACTGGCTACCCCGCTGGCCGTAAGAATGTCAACGGGTTCACTGAGACGTGCCTTGGATAGGGTTGTTATCGATCATCAGCTTTCCGTCTTCTTGTCTTCATATGCTATTGCAACTTTGCAAAGTTGCAATAGCATATGAATCATTCTTACATGATCGCCAGTGACGATGGATAAACGAGGAAACGTTTTCTGGTTGCATGCCATGGATCATCGATCACACAGGCTATGATTCTATTTTGCAAGAAACCCGTGTCGCAGGCCGGAGTAGGGTTTTTGTGTGAAATGTACGACGTGTGTAGTAGTAAATTTGGTAGCACTGACTAAAGTGCGGCATACATGAGCCGTATTTGACGATTCCGGCGGACGGCGTGAGTTGTTGGGATTGTCGATATCAATATATTGATTTTTATGCATTTCAATTTATGGTTTTCTGAGCGATTGTTTCAATATAATATTTAACTTTCAGGTGCATAAGGTGAGACAATCACTGTCACCATTTGTTGTCAGAGTTGGATGTGCTGGAACATTGAGATCCGGGGCGAATGATTCCCCATTCAAGGGCAGTAGGGTCCGAATTTGAATATTTTTTCCTTTTTTAAAATGCTTAAAAAAGCAAACACTTACTTGGTGACTACAATGAGCTACAACTAACTACAATGAAAACGTTAGGCTGCGTCAACCTCTCCGACCACAGCTTGCGCTTGACAAATGGTTTTAGAGTTCACAGCAGCATGTTACTTTGATTTTCTGTGTGGCCTAATTTGCAAGGTGTTGGTGTTTGTTCGGGTAATCGGTAACTTGGAATGGGATTTTCAGGCTAAACTTTTGTTAGTTGAACCATGTTTGATTATCCAGCCAGTATTGTGATTTTTTCTATGAAGCCCTTCTTTTCTGTCTCTACATTTATTATCAGGTGTCATTTATTTTCATCATAAACAGGGATGAGGAGCCGGAGCTGGAGTCGGAGCCGGAGCCGGCATATTTTGCCCGGAGCCGGAGCCGGAGCCGGAGCCGTGAAACAATATAGCCCGGAGCCGGAGCCGGAGCCGCCAAAAAGGGGGCGACTCCGGCTCCTTTTTATTTTTTGAAGAGGAAAAAATAATTGACCCAGTTCGGTTTGACAGTACAAGGCAGTAAAACATATGGTACTGTTGGCCTCAAGATAAGGGCCCAGGCTACCTGTAGTTTTGATGCGGTGAATACCCTCACCCTCGCCACAATGCGAGTGGGGGTGGCGCTGGCTAGGAGGAGGGTTGCACTCGGCCCGAGTTGTGGCGAGGGTAAGGGTATTCACCGCATCAAAACTACAGGTCGCCTGGGCTCTTATCTTGAGACCAATAGTACGTCATGGGCCATCAAGTGAATGAAAAAAGCCGAATATCCCCAGCATCCCACAGTCCAATCAACTTCCTGTTTACTCCCCCCCCCCCCCACGTCTGCTGCATCCCCAGAACATGAGGACCGGTCATCAGGTGATGGCCATTGTTTTGAAGCCAGTGCAGTGGACTGCGACTCCCAGCACCGTCTCTTCCCCCCACCCCACCCCCCAATGCAGCCCGAGACGGGTGTCAGCTTAAGATGGTTCAGTGAACTCCGATTCGCGGCGACTGCGTTTCCAATGCCATCGCTTCCTAGTCCTTTGTTCTGCCAGGTGCGTTTGCGTTTGCGGAGGTGCGTTTGCGCGGGGACGTGGTGAGCCGGTCATGGCAAAGAGTAACGCGTATAGCCAATCCAATTTTTTTTCCACCCGTATTTGATTGATTGCATAGGGGATGTACTGAGTCGGAGCCGGAGCCGCCGGAGCCGGAGCCGCCGGAGCCGGACCATTTTACTCGGAGCCGGAGCCGGAGCCGGAGCCGCCATAACATTTCACCCGGAGCCGGAGTCGGAGCCGGAGCCGATTTTTTCTCCGGAGCCGGAGCCGGAGCCGGAGCCGTCTAAAATTTCCACGGCTCCGCATCCCTGATCATAAACAATCTTCTCAGTCCTCAAACCAGTATTGGTAACTAAATTGTTACTGCTTAATGTTTTTACTCTAGTCCAATTTGTTGTATCTGTTTCAGAATCAGACAATCCTGAGATGAGCTCAGAGGCACCAGAGCAGCCAACTGCTGAGGATGTCTCCTTTGCTGACATACTGGACCAACCGGAGGGGTCCAACCCGTCACCTGCGGAGAAGGTGAAGGAGGCTGCTGTGACAGAGGCTCCCTCCACAAATGGAGATGCCGCACCAGAGACAGATGGCACTGTAGAACCTGCAGAGCCGATGGAGGTGTCTGAAGGGGTGACAGGTGCTGCTGGTGATGCAGGGGCCACCTCAGATGAAGTGGCAGCTGCAGAAGAGACCAAGGTGGCTGAAGAAGTGCCTGTGGATGCAGAAGCAGCACCAATGGATGATGAAGCACCAGTCACTGAGAATGCACCTGCTGCTGCTGAAGCTCCTGCTGCTGCTGAAGCTCCTGCTGCTGCTGAAGCTCCTGCTGCCAATGAAACAGTTAGTGCTGAGGAAGCATCGGCAGCCAAGACTAAAGAAAACTCTGCCCCAGAGAAATCGAAAATGCCTTCAGGGGAGACGGCATCAGCTGAGGCTCCAGCTGAAGCTGCCAGCTCCACATCCAAAGAAAGCTCAGAACCTGAGCCCTCTGCCAAAGAAAGTTCTGCACCAGATTCTGCAACTAAAGAGGATGCTCAGATGGAGTCTGTCTCTGAAAAAGCTAAAACTGAATCGAAACCCACTACAAAATCGCCAGGACAAGTCGCTAAGCCAGCATCCAAGCAAGCAGCAGATACCAAGCCTAAAACAGCCTCGAAAATCACCACTGCAGCTCCAAAGACTGATGCTAAGCCCACCAAGACTGCTGCAGCATCTGATAACAAGTCGTCAGCGCGGAAGCTCCCGCCGGGCGCGGAGCCTATTCGGGAGTTCAGCAATAAGGCCAAGACGCCGGAGCCGGAGCTGACTGAGCTGGAGAAGCTGTGGAAGCCAGTGAAGCAGAACCCAGCCGACTTCACGGCCTGGACGCTGCTCATTCAGTACGCGGAGAACCAGGTACGTGCCCGGAGACGGGAGGGGACGTCTTCTCGGCGAAAAGGTGTGTCCTCCATTCTGTTCAACATGCTGCTTTCCTCCTATGTTTATTTTCAGATGCTGGATTTATTACTTTTCGGGTGATAGACGGTGATGTGTCTGTGTGTTTAACCCACTCCTTTCTCAAACAGATTCAGTATGGACGACAAAGAAGCGTAGTAGTCGCAGCTTCCGTAAGCCAAAAACCACCAGGAATCAGGTGATGTTGTTTTGTCGAACACCTCTGAATTTCTGAGATAAATTCATTCTGGTATTCATCACATTTTCTCGAATGAGCCGTCATCCACGTTTCCCCGTCACCCTCGCCCCACTGGACGCTGCGCCACGCGCGCGGCGCCGCTGCTTTGACCGGCATGGGCGGCCAGTGTGTGGCGCTGACTGCTGAGCTGCGTGTTCGCAGTGTTTCATGGAGGACATTCGCAGCGTGCTGAAGGCGTTTCTGGCGCGGTACCCCTACTGCTACGGCTACTGGAAAAAGTACAGCGACCTGGAGAAGAAACGAGGCACGATCGAGCTCTGTAATGAGGTGAGAAAGAGACAGCAGGCTGGCTGCTACCTCACCCACAGCCGTCCGATTGTCGTCCCCATCAGCTGTTCTCATCGATACGAGTAACGATGTTTTCACTTCTCCGTTTGCGATTCTGCACCATACACATTGAGTGTACCTACCTATCCTGAGCTACTCCGCCACCTCCCTGAGGTTTGTACTGAAGCTGGCCCCCTGCCCCTGACGCCCTTCAGGTGTTTGAGGCCGGCCTGGCGGCGGTGCCTCTCAGTGTCGACCTGTGGCTTCATTACCTGCACCACCTGCGGTCAGTGTATGAAGACAAACCGGAGGTCGTGCGCGCCGGGTTCGAGCGGGCAGTGGCCGCCTGCGGCACAGAGTTCAGGTGAGGACACTTAGAGTTACGGTGAGGACACACGGAGTTAAGGTGAGGACACTCAGTTCAGGTGAGTTACCGCGCATTTACTCGTCACGGATTTTAAGCTCTGTCATTAGAAATCTACCAGCCTTCACTTTTTCAGATTGTTTCTGAGACCATCACGAAAATTATTAGGGACTGAGTTTCCTTTCCCTGACGTGGTATATTTGACAGGTCGGACTGTTTGCTCTGTTTGAGCTAGTTGGCCTAGCATTGCACCCCTTCCTCTTCCAAATAGAATCGTCTGCGGCAGCTATGTGTGAGAAGCGGCTGATGGTCTCCCCAGGTCGGACCGTCCGTAAAAGCAGTACACTAGCTGACCTGACCTTGCCCTCCCCAGGTCGGACCGTCTCTGGGAGCAGTACGCCAGCTGGGAGGCAGCCAACAAGGAGCCGGTGAAGGCGCTGGCCGTCTACAAACGCGCCATCGCCGTGCCGACGCTCTCATACAGGACACACTTTGAAAAGTAGGTGACGACTGGCGATTGGAAACTGATTGGATGCTGTTAAAGCTAAGGGACACATTAAAGTATTTTGAAATTGATTGGTGTTGATTCAGCCACAGGGCTGCCCTGGCATTTCCAGGTATAATACTTTGGTTGACGTTTTTCGGTCATCTAATTTATTGCCTACAAAGTTAATTCAACATCACATTTCGCCGGTAGTGGCTTTATCTTCGTATAGCTATGGGACCAGGTCCTCGACGTTCTTGACGTTCCCTTGACGGCTCTTCTCCCCTGCTAGCCTGGAGCAGTTTGTCGGCGAGACGCCGCCGCAGGAGCTGCTCACCGTGGAGGAGTTTCTGGAGGCGCGTCGCGCCGTGCTGGCCGAGCTGCGGGCCTCGGAGCCGGCGGCGGCGCCCCCTGCAGCCTCCACGGACCTGCTGCCGCCCGGCTGTGACGAGCCGCCGCCCGGCGTGCCCGCCCAGCCGGCGGGACTGGTGAGCGGCGGCCGAGCGGGATCTGGTGGGGACAGACTAGGGAATTGCGGGAGCACCCACTGAGTAATCAGGGTACCGGGCATGTGCTGCACTTTGTGAAGTATACGTATTCTATGCATATGGTATTGTTCCCTGTTTCGACGGTTTCATTAGCTGATTTGTGTTATCGATATTGTTTGTTTCGGTGTTAGTCCTGACTGTCTCATTTTTGTCCCTCGCCTCAGAGCTCAGACGAGGAGTGTGTGAAGCTTCGCGCCAAAATTCTGGCGCCACTGCGTCAGCTGCACAAGGACACGGAGAAGCAGGTCTCGCTCAGATGGAACTTCGAGGAGGGGGTACGTAACACATTTCATATCCTGCTGTTGAGGCTGTACTTATCTTTACTGCTTTATTTTCCTATTGTTCAGAGCATTTGATTGATGATTCCATATTTTTAGCAGGAGACATAATATCGGACAGATCAGTGTCGCTTGTGCTAGGAGTTTCTCTGGTCACTGATGATAAATGTTCGTTGGGGCAGCTATTGATTCGACTGTTCGTTCACAGCCAGAGGGCTTGAAATCCTAGATTATTTGTTTTTATTTACGACGTCCATGCTGGCTTCGTATTGCTGTATCTTTTAGTAACATTGTCGTCTTTCGTACTGGGAATTACCTGACTTAATGTCTCCCGTCTTCCTCACAGATCAAGCGTCCGTACTTCCACGTGAAGCCTCTGGAGAAGGTGCAGCTGAAGAACTGGAAGGCCTACCTGGAGTTTGAGATCGAGCAGGGCGACAAGCACCGCATCCATGTGCTGTTCGAGAGGTGCATGATCTCCTGCGCTCTCTATGAGGAGTACTGGCTCAAGGTAACTGGACTTTCGGCATTGGTGTACCGGGTGTCCCAAAAGTAAGGTCATGATTTAAAACTTAAATATCTCGAGAAGTAAGAGTCCGAATCACTTCCAATTTTAACACGTGCAAGGTACATCCATAAAATTATTTTCTTGCATGCTTAAACCATTTTTGATCATAACTACACCGAGCAGTAGGCTTAAAACTGAGAAGGTCGAAATTCAACTCTTAGAGAGGGTCCGTCATTAAAACAAAGGGTAAATACCGCCCAGTTTTCGGCCCTAAGCAGACCCTATCAGCTCGCCCTATCTCTGAACTCATGCATAGTTTCGCCTCAACCGGTAAAACGTCAGAAAAAAGGTATAATGTACGCACAGGACATGTATACTTAGCCACCTGTGCTTCGAGGTCCTGAGGACGACAGCGGGAATCGGGTGAAAATAAATCAAGAGAGGGGGCCGAGAGTCCTCCCAGTGGTTCTTCCGCTCGTCGCAACGCAGCTATGCCGACACCATCAACCAGCAGTGGTTTCAGCAGGATGGAGACTATGCTTGCACCGTCCTGAAGATCATGCATTGTCTCCGAGAGTGGATGTGAGATCGCATAATTTTCAGTCAGGGCAACGCCATTGAAGGCCTCCGCGGTCACCTGACGTTACACCTTCATATTTTTATTCTCTGGGTACACAACGGAAAGGTTGTCTTTTAGGACAACCCAACGAGCCGGGAAGAACTAAAGGATGATCCCTCCGAGCAAACATAAGCGGCATCTCACCAGAGAATCGCTCCAGAATAGTGGAGGAAGTAAAACGCAGTCTATTCGTGCACGCGGCCCGAAATGGTAGCCATGCAGAAAAGCAGCAAATGTGGGGCTACGAGCCAATGTATTGACTCATATGTATGTCAGAATGAAATTTTATAAAATGCTCTTTCATATGATGTCCTATTTATTCCTATCCATCGCGTATTTTTGGCGGTGTGGCCAAAACAAATGATGACCTTACTTTTGGGACACCCGGTATGTTGCGTAACATATTGCCATGTGTGATGCACATACTTCAATAGTATTTTGCCTTTTTCGATGCTTTCACCTTAGCGACTACCCGCGACGTGCCTTGGTGACCTCTAAGAAATAATGATTTGTGGAGTTTCATCAATCCAAAGTACGGAACGCACTGAATAATTTACTAGCGTCCTAGTTACCAGGCACTTAAATCCTCTGGGGACTCTCCCCTTCTGACCTGCCTGACGGATCTGTCTCCCTTTCGTCAGTATGTGCGCTACCTGGAGTCTCTGGAGCCGTGCGACTGGGACGCGGTCCGCTCAGTGTACCGGCGCGCCTGCTGGACCCACCTGCCCGACAAGCCGGCCATTCACCTCATGTGGGCCACCTTCGAGGAGAAACAGGGTCAGTTCGGGCCACGGGGTGGGGACGATGGGACTGAGGAGTTGGGGGAATGGATGGTTGTGGGATGGTGAGGGAATGGAGTTACTATATGTGCCCTGATTTGGGATCGAAGCGAAACTGCTATGTGGCGAGAATGCCAGCCGCGGATACAACATGACTTGATAGGCTATAACGGAAGTGGACATAACAGTTTTCGAACACTTATAGTTTACTTTTCGAGATATAAGGTGTAAGGTGTTGCTGACTACTGCTTAACTGCCTTAGGCTGATAGTGTGGTGTTTTCACCCTCAGCATTCCGCTGTCTAATTTGTTGAAGACGTACAGGACTTTGGGCATATATCGATCTCTGATCCCCGTCAGTTGACCCCTTCTTACTTTCACCTTTATCAGGTGACCTGGACGCCGCCGCCGAGGTGATGCGGAGAATCAGCGCCCAGGTCTCGATGCTGGAGGTAACTCTGCGCAGCATCAACCTGGCCCGGCGCGCCGGAAAGCTGGACGCCGCCGAACGGATGTACGCCGAGGCGCTGAAGAGCACCGAGCACCGCGAGACGGCTGTCGTCATCGCCGTCAAGTTCGCTCGCTTCCTGAATAAGGTGAATAAGTGACTCCCTACCATCATTCCTTCAGAGATGAGTCGGACAAGAGAGTGGACTAGCTAGTTACTGAAATGTGTATATTGTATTCATTGTTATTAAGTCGCTGACCAGACCACTTTTCTCCAGATTCGCGGCAATCGGGAGAAGGCTCTGGAGGTTCTGAAGGAGGCGATCCGGCTCGACCAGACCAACATGCGTCTGTACATGCAGCTGGTTGACGTGGCCTTCCAGAGCCGACCGGTGGATGTCGCCCTGGTCAAGGAGACCTTCCAGACGGCCCTGGAGGCGCCGTTCGAGCAGAAGGACAAGCTGACGCTGACACACCGGCGAATGGAGTTCCTGGAGGAGTTCGATACGGACGCAGAGAGGTGAGCGCTGAGTGTTCCATTTTTGTCATGGCAGTTTTATACGGAATGTTGTGGTCTGTTTGTGTGCCATATAATGATATTATCTTTGTAATTATCTCGTCCGATCAACGAACATTCAGGTTCAGGTCACTGGCCGCGAAGTACCGTTTCCTCCTTGACTTAAGTCTCCGCCGAGTCCTCTGACCCATCCCCTCCCGTGGCGATATGGCCCGCAGCATTCAGAAGGCGCACGAAGAATACTACGGCCTGCTGAAGGTCGTCAAAGCCGAGGCCAAGAAGAAGAAGCAGGAGGAAGAGGCCGCCGCCGCCGCCTCCAAGGCGAAAACCCCCTCCGGGAAGCGGAGCGCCTCAACCTCTTCAAACGGGTACGTGTCTAATGGTCACTAACGGAATCGAATGGTGTTTCGTAGTCGGATCAGAGGATATTTTCGTCGGAGATAAACGTCAACACTTAGCTATTCACTTACAGTTACCGTTGTTAGTTGTTTTTAGCTCGTGACGATAAAATGTCGAAATCACTGGATTTGACACCACTCCAGATTCAGTTTACTGCTGTCTGACCTCTGATATGAGGATCTCTGACCTGACCTCTGACATCCCGTCGACAGGACGGACAAGAAGGCGCGCACGGACTCGACCTCGGGCGCCGGCAGCGGCACCCACATCCCCACCATCACCGAGACTCCGGCACGGGCCGCCAAGGCCGCCCCGACACCCTACCGCGGCGCCGCACCCGGCGCGCCGGGGTCCCAGTTCTCCCAGCCGCCCCCGGGGCCGCCGCAGGCCGCCTACCAGGGCTACAACCAGATGCCCCCGCAGCAGCAGCAGCCGTACCAGTACCCGCCGGGCGGATACCAGCAGCAGGGGGCGCCCGGCTGGACCGGCTACCCGCCCCAGTACAACTACAACCAGTACGGCCAGGGCTACCAGTATCCCTACCAGTAGCGGTGACATGCATAAAGTCTGGTGTGATTCTCGGCCAATAGGTGGCTCTGTGGACGGTGAGGTTCAGTTTATCATCTTGGGACCGATTTGAGGCGACCTGACAAGACGTTGAAGTGTTTTGTACGGGAGTGATGTGATGTACAGACCATTTTTTGAAGTGATGGGGTCGTGTGACAGCTGGGATTTCATTTGGCTGCGACAGAGCTGCGTTAGGTCCTCCTTGTGCTATAAACGTGCGGATCGACTCGTGGTGACTCCATGGTCATTCTGGGCCACCCGTACTATCTCCCATGGTGTGTGTCACTGGCCCGGGTATTCGCCATACGTCAGGGTTATTCATTTGATCACCACACTTCTCGTGTTGAGCGCACGGGCGGTCATCAATAAACTGGTACTGAGTATCGCTTCATGCGTATTTACTGATAGTCCGACATGCTGGTAGGTCGGAAGGAGAACGTTTGTATTGATAGCTACACAGTTTTGCATAATATGTGATGAAAATCGTGCGATGGGGTATGCTCAAGGCATCGTCACCTACCTGGCACCACCGGCAGCGCACGAGACTGGCACTCCGACCGGTGGGAGCGCGGCCCGCCGCACTTCAGCGGGCAGTTACGCACTGCGTGATGAAAATCGTGCGATGGAGTTTGCTCAAGGCACTGGCATATTTGACCTGCGCTTTTTGCGAGAACTGCGAAGGGGTGAAACCTCTACCTGTATCCGCAATTCCTTTGTTCTTGGCTGCCCTATTGGTTATTTTTATCGATATTTTGTCTTTCTCCACTTTTTGCGTATGGTCGATGGCATCACAAGTGTAACCTATCACCCTTCACGTCCCACAAAGCCATTCAGCCTCGATTCCCTCCGACATACATCATTGGCCGATGGGCGCCCGTTGTCGGCTGGCCGGCGTCCAGAGGTCGCCTCCCTCCCCCCCCCCCCGGCCCCCTGGGTCCCCCGGCGGGCCGCTTATCGCAGTCATTAGCACTCTTACCCCTGCCAGCGGCCGGTTATCCATCTGCTCGGCTGGACACAACATTTCCGCGCGCATCTCCGGCGACGCGAGCCAACCCGTCCCGCGCCGAGAGAGCGACGGTCACCGGGGGGAGGGGGGGGGAGCATCGGACAGACGGGTCAGAGCGTCCGGGCGTGAGAGTGGTTGATGCGTGAAAGGCGAATGAACTTAACAAGATAAAGCGTAACACTTCGAGGCTGGCGATGGCCTGATCCACCGTAGTCTAGTCGGATATGTTCGACTGGACGAATTAGTTGTGGAAATCTAAGTAAGGAGCCTGAACAAAATCCACAGAGCCGTAAGTTAAAACCTGACTAGATAATAAGGCATCTTATTTAGTGCATCGATCCGAGACAACGCAGATACGAGTGCCCTTATTAGCTCTCCTCTCGCTGGCCTTGGAGCTCGATCTGTGCGGTGAGCTCCCGTCCTGCAGTCGTGTCCCTGCACTTTAATACGGTGCTCGGCGGCTGTCGGCGGTCGCCGTGGTGGCATCTCCTCCAGCCGGCATATCCCGACTTCAAAGCCTCCAACTCAACAGGACCGGGTGTTTCCGGAGTCTCCGGCCCGCCGCCTCGGGCGGTCCTCTGTAATCCGCCGCCCCCGCCCCCGCCCCCGCCCCCGCCCCCGCCCCCGCCCGTCCCAGCTGACGTGTGGAGATCTCAACAGGCTGCGGCCCCATTGGTCGCCGGTGAAAACAATGGACGGTTGAGAGGGGGCTTTCTGGCCTCCGGCAGCGGGGCAGTGTCTTCAAGGTGGCTTCTGCTGGGACAGATCCCTGGTCTTTTCTGTGATTTTGAAAAGAGTGGATCCGTAGGCTCAATAGCGTAACTTACCTAGGTACTTATACGGGCTTTATGCATGGCATGGGCCATGGCAAAGCGGAGTTAACTTGATACGGTTCATTACGATTCACAGTAAAAAAGGCCATTTGACCGTTCTAATACAGGAACAGGATTCTACTCTCCATACCCGATGCCAACAGGAATGTCGTGATTCTGACCAGCCATCTGTACCCTTGTTCATGCTACTTCGCCTGCGCGGTCTTGCGGTCGCAACCGAGACAAAAATGGAACGCAAACCGTAAAGGGTCAGCTCCGCTGGAAGTAACCGTTTGATTTGAGTGGCGGGGTGGCCTATTCCACCGGAACACTTCTGTCCCAGCGGAAGTGTACTCAGCAATGGTGTAAGCGTAAAGCGAACGCACTAAGGTGCAACGATCGGTGGTTAACTCGGCCCTAATGTCTTCCCAATAGCATATTCATTTACTACATTATCTTGAAATGGTTGTTGGATCGAATGGTCCTACCAAAGAAGCCTAACGTAGAAGTATGTTCCCTGCTTAACCCTCGCCGGCCGAGGGGGGGCGGGTGCCGCCCCCCCCCCCATAGGGTTTTTTTCGCGATAGCTCCGAACACGCTGGCAATAGAGAGCTGAAACTTGGTATACCTGACCTTTGATTCAAGCCGGATCTTTTGACACCAACCGCATTTTTGGGTCAGGCCAGGTCACTGACCTATGACGTCATAAGTGAACCTCTGCACGGTCTTCAGATGTCGCAACTTCGCAACGCCCTCACTGCCAGAGGAGATGTCACAGGGAAATGAAAATTGCAGGATCTAGTATCCATTATGAGTCTCACAACTTGTATATCTCGGATTTTTCCCAAAGGTCATATGAGGTCAGGTCATTTTCGTGACCTCACCATTATAAGTCAACGGGGGAAAATGAAAACTGCTATTCTGGCGCCGGGAACGATCTCCTACTATCTCAAGCACACAGAATCGTGATTTGATGCACTCCTTGCAAGGTTAGATGCGTCACTTTTGCAATGTTGACCTTGCGTGACGTCATTTATGACGTCATCAAGGTCATATTAGTTTTTCGTCAATAACTCTTGATCAAATTGAGCTAGCGAGTCGGGAAAGCCACCAATCGACTCAGGAAGACCTGCCGAATCGAATGATATGCGACATGACCTCTTTCGACCAATTTCGTGACCTGGGGGTGCTGACCTGACCTTGACCTGAGGTCAACACCCCAAGTTGACCTGACCCGGACAAAAAGTATATCATTCGACGCGCCTGAGCGAGGCAAACACGATGCTGCCAAAATCGCGGCTCTGCGGCCGTTTTTTGCGAAGTTATTCACCAAAAACTGAACCGTACCTTGGGGCACTTGACCTGACCTCAGAGGTCACCGGTTGACCTAGGACCTTAACCTTCGCCCCAGTGGGGGGGGGGCATATGTTACCACCCTGTCGCGTTTTTTGCGTGTGAATAAAAACCGCGGCGCGTAGCGCCGCGCCGCTTGGGGCAGCTTTTGGAACATCAATTTTGGACAATGTGTGAAATTTTTGACCCCAGGTCATGTCAGGTCAGGTCACCAGGTCAAGTTAACTGACCAAGCCTAAAAAAGTTTGCAATAATGTCCAGCCTGCAGTGTTTGTCAGAAAGGTTTGAAACTTGGTGGAATGCATGCTGTTATGAGCGTCTACAATTTGTATAGGGGAAGGTGGGGTAAGACGGACCAGCTAAGGTTTGAGGCCGCATATCTTGCTACACTGCTCTCGTAATTCATATTATTTATAGTCTTCGGAATGCTCAATCCTTCCTCTGTTGATATGTGTAAAGACTAAATTTCAAATTAAAGACATCTAGGTGGTGGATGCTCTTAAAGAGGGACATGTCAAAAATTCAGACAAGAAAAAACGTGGGGTAAGACGGACCACCCAGCAGTGCCTGCTATCCGTTCATGTGTGTTACACTTCTGCTCTGTACTCTTGTAAGAAAAAGTAACCAGAATGGTAAAATAACAAAATGAGCCTTTATTCTTCACTCATGTGTGATGGAAGTGCAGCTAAAAGCTGGGAACATGTGTGTTGATTGTCGTTTGGCATGAATGCATGCTAACTGAGCACTTGCATGCATGGCTCACATGCAACAAAGACTCCTTCCTGAAAAATTAGCTTACTTAAACTTGTGTCAATGTTTTGGAAAAGAACTTTCCATATGCAGGGTACAATGGACCACCACAGGGTAAGATGGACCACAGTGGTCCGTCTTGCCCCAAATATAAATTCTGTCATTATCATGACGTATATGTCAAATAGCTCAACATTGCAAAACCTTGTCTTTCCTAAAGTGTGACTATAACTAGGTTTATAACTTTGTTCTTCACAGTTAAGTGCAAAATAGAAACTAGTCATGCAAGAAAGGCGCCGTAATTGATTCACCCGTAGACCTCTTATATTAGATCGGTTTGAAGAAAAACAACATTTTTTCTCAATAACTCAAAAGCTATGCATCCTAGCAGCATGAGCTCAAGGTGGCCATTGTTACGAAGGAAAACAAACATAGTGAGTGCATAAAGCAGTAGATACCAGCAGCGGTTCAGCCTGGAGGGCTGGTGGTCCGTCTTGCCCCGCTGGGCCGTCTTACCCCACCTTCCCCTATCTCGGATTTTTTATATCCGTGACCTAAGGTCAGGTCAGTGGCGTGACCTTTCCATTACAAGTCAATGGAGAAAAATGAAAATGCCTCTAGATCCGTGTGTACGCATCGGAACAGTCCAAATATTTCAGAATCACAATGATTTAGTCCACTCGTGATGACCAAGGTGTCATTTTTGCTGATAGCCTCTAGACAGGTCATCCGAGGTCACTTGAGGCTACAAACAGTTTTTTGCCAATAACTCGCGATTGGAAAGAGATAGAACGCTGGGGATGGTCTCATTGTGTTTGTCTTGTTGAGACGCATCGACTGATATGCAACATGACCTTTTCCGGTAAGGTCATGACCTTGACCTGAGGTCAAATTTTCAAGTTGACCTTTCAAGGTCAAATTATAGTTCATTCGACGCGTCTCGGCGAGGGGAACACGATTCTGGCAATAGAAATGTCGTGGCTTTTTGTAGTCGAAAGTTATTGTCGAAAAACACTTTTCGTAAAAACAGCTATTTTTGGAGTTTTTGCCCTCTGGAGGCTAAACCGTTGACCTGAGGTCAATATTGATAGTGACCTTTTCAAATGAAGAGTTCAAAAGCTATCGATTGGTTTTCCATGCGTTTTTCTAGCTACCATAGTTCCTGAGATAGCGGCATGTTTTCTGAAAAATATTATGACAATTGGCAAATTTTGACCTTTGATGACCTCTGGTGACCCCAATTTTGCTCTAAGGTGAAAAATGACCAAAAATACTTTCAAACGTACGCATTGAGAGCTATCGACTGCTTTTTACCGCGTCTTTCTAGCCCTCTTAGTTTTTGAGTTAGAGGTGGGTGGTAACATATGCCCCCCCCCCCCCCCCCCACTAGGGCGAAGTTGGCTGAGACCGCCACTGGGGCGCGGGTTAAAATCGGGTACCAATCTCTGCGTCTCGTAACGGCGC